CTGATGTCATAGTAAATTATTTATATTATCTCGCGCGAGAATCAATAGAATGACATCAGCATTTCGCGCGAGATGCATATCTAGATAGACCAGTCGTTTGTACACTTAAGTATACATGATGGTAATGTTAAATTTTTTGGGATGCAGCAATTGGAATAATCGTCTTAATCGATCTAAATGGTACAAAATTATCCGGATCCCGAGAAATTTAGCCCCAAAAATTTAAAATTACATGACTATGGTAAGTCGAAACCCCTATATAAAGACATGTATGATGATCTAAAAATCAATCATGATTTTTGTAATACAGTAATACGAAATAGATTTTTCGGAACTGTATAATAGGAAGAAAATAACCAATGGTTTTTCATTGATTGAAGAAGGTAAAAATCGGAGTACCCGAATTTTGGTATAAATTATACTAAAAACGTCTGGCCTACGAGTGTGGGAATATTACTCAGGTCCCATTGAATCTAAAAATATAGATTTTAGATGCACCGGTTCAAATTTCATGGTGCATATTAATACTGCAAGACCGAAACACTTAAACTCATGTTACATTTGATGAATCGTGTTACCATAAAAAAATTGATCATGATAAAAACCATCAACTTGCTTTTTCTCTTTCGTACGGTTTGACGACCATACATCCAGTAAGTTTTATCTAAGTTTGTCATTGAAGCTTTTTTTCCACTGCGCCAAGGTCCGCAGTATGATTGGTATTAGTTTATTGAGAACTAAAATATTTGTCAACACTCGAACGTCCGTTTTTAGAACTTTAGCAACCATGGCCAACCCTAAATGTTACTTCGATGTTGCAGCTGACGGTGAAGAACTTGGTGTAAGTTTTAAATAAATATATTAAGAATATTTTCTAATAAGGTCCCATTTATAATAATTATTTTATTTTTATAGAGAATCGTGTTTGAACTTAGGCACGATGCGGTTCCCAAGACCGGTAAACAATATTTAAGAGATGTTATGTATTAATTGTTATTATTATTTACTGATTTTATTTTGTAATGAATAGCTGAAAATTTCAGGGCATTGTGTACAGGCGAAAAGGGTTATGGCTACAAGGGTTCCACCTTTCACCGTATCATTCCTCAATTTATGGTTCAAGGTGGCGACTTCACCAACAATAACGGAACTGGTGGTAAATCCATTTATGGCGAGAAATTTGCTGATGAGAATTTCAATTTGAGACACGAAGGACCTGGTATATATAATTGTAGAAATAATATTCTTCCTTAATAAGATTAATTAAATCGTTTGCGCATATTAGGTACTCTTTCAATGGCTAACGCTGGAGCCAACACTAATGGATCTCAATTCTTTATTTGCACTGTAAAGACTGCCTGGTTGGATAATAAGCATGTCGTCTTTGGAAAAGTGGTTGATGGTATGTTTATTAAGCAGTATTTTTTTTTTCCTCGAAAATTCTGTCATTATTGAATATTTTTTACAACTTATTTAGGTATGGATATTGTGTACAAAGTTGAAGCTTTTGGCACTTCTTCAGGTAAACCCAAAAAAACTGTCAAGATTATCGATTGTGGCGAATGTTAATAAGTTTCGTCATGTTGAACATAATTGGTTTCGTCATGTTGAACATAATTGGTTTCGTCTAAAAAAAAGCAAAAAAAAAAAAAAAGAACAGCAATAATCAGTTCTAAAGTAAATGAATAAATTTGTAGCAATAATTTGTTCTTAAAGTAAATGTAATAAATTTATAGTCTCTGATTTCTTTAAGAATTATCATGCAAAGCGGTTCTTAAGTTTTTAAAAGTTGTTTTTTTTTTATTGTCGCTGTGTTACTGATCTTTCATGAATACCGTAGAACTAATGTCCGGAAGCATTTGCTAAAGTATATAATTTATTAAAACAAATATATGATGTATATGCATAATGGTATTATTATGGCGTATATAAATCATTTATTCTTTCTAAATGCAAGCTTCAAGCACTAAAATTTTTTCACCGGCAGATCTGCACTTAGAGGAAGTTCAATGCAATTAGTTTTTAGATGTATTAACTACGCATCACTTTAAGTTTCCTTTACTATTATAATTTATCAAAATCTATCATCACGTATTTAGCTGCTGAAAGAAATGACTAAAAAGAATTTATTAAATACAATAGCTTGATATTTAATGAGATTTGCGGGTTATAAAAGCTATAAACGTCATTGACATTAAGAATTATAATCATCTAAGAACCCTCATTTTTATATATCATAAATTAAGGCTTATTTTTCCTCTGGTTTATCCATAGCAGCAGTAGCACGAGCTGTTCAAGACAATTTCATTAGTTATAGAAGAACAAGATGAAAAAATTTTCAATGTAGATACATACTGTAAATAGGCAGAGATGAGTGTGTTGATATTTTACGGATACTTCCTTTCGCTTCTAATTCACGAATCGCAATACGAGCAAGAGATCCATTAACTCTAAGACGATCGACCAAAACTGCTGGTGTGATTAATTTATATGTTGGTACTTCTTTTTGCAGTTTGTCATATGTTGCTTTGTCAAGAACTACGGCATTGTTTGCTTTGTCCTTAACCTTTCCTTTAGACCATTTCTATACATTTATAAAAGTTATATGAGAAATTCAGAGTAATTTGTAAACTACTGAATTTAATATGCGTAATACCTTTTTCTTATTTTTACCGCCGGAAGAAGACTTTGGTGCCTTCTCTTTAGCCTATATAAAAAAAAGGATAAATAAATAGTTTTATATATATTGCCCTTTGTAATAAAATATAAACACGAGGCTTAACAATTTATTTTTTTATGCATTCCAGCCTTGCTCTCATTACACTCACCATATTTGATATCTATGATTTAAAAAAAAAAAAAAAAAAAAAATCTATCAATTATCTATCTTATACCGATTACGCTCTGATTAAGGTTTGGAGCCGGTTTATTTACCCGATTATATTCGGTTTTATCACATGGCTTCATTTTTCATACGTACGTACGTTTAAATTTTGAAGGCATGTGTAACTGTCCGTCTTGCATACATTGTATGAAAAGTTTTTTATAATACTTCAAAAATTTTCAGACTTCAAGCGGTAAATTGTTTTATGTTGCAATTATTAGAACGCTTTTTTATAAAGTATCATTTTAAGTGCTAACACTACCGATTTAAAGTACCGTCCTTACAGCTGCAAATCCAAAATCAGCTCAATAGATAATAATGGGAGGAGGCGGCGAGCTTCCCTGGTGGGGTAACCTTGGCGGTCCTGTTCAGAGACATATCGTAACATATTCTATTTCTCCATACAAACAACGTCTTTTCAAGGGAGCCTTAACGCATGGTGTTTTTAATACTTACCGGCGCACAGCCTCTCAGGCTTTTTATATTGGTGTTCCTGTATTTATTGGCTTATTAGTTTATTACCAGGGCAACAAAAGGCACGAATATTATAATTCGAAGGCCTCGAAAAAACACGAAGAATGATAAGGCAAATGTGAAATAGCCATAATTCAAATACCTTTTAATGGCAATGAAGTTTTAAATATATTTTTTTTCGAAATCCAAATAATTGTTAAAAGTGTACATACAGTATTTCTATCTTATCGTTATTTGAAGTTATTCGGACATCAATACAATCGCTTCTCTTTATACTGAACTTTGCCTATAAAAACCTAAAAGATTTAAAAACAAATAACGTATATGCTTATTTACGCTGCCGACTCGAGCACAATTTGATTAATATATACTATAGTGTAGGTTATTGCTAAGAAAGCAAGATATTTGCTGAACATTTAAGATTAGAAGAAGAAATATACAGTATGTATATATCTACTAGTATATAAATACTGTACATACTAATATACCAAAAACCAGTTAATTAAAAGTATATACTATTGTATGTATGTAAAAAATATAGTAGTAATATAGTCTTTGAGATTTTAGTGTAGTGTTGAGTAATATGAAAAAGCTTGTACAGTATACAGCTAGCTAGCTATAGTGGGTATTTTATTTAACTTTAGTTATTATTCATTCATTTATTTTTTTTGAAACTTGCTTTTATTTTAATAGATTGGATTTACTGTTTTGTACTGAAAATAGTACAGTTTATAAAATAGATTAAAATTTTTAAAAAATTATA